GAGTATGAATTGGAATTGGATTATGTGTTCTAGTTACTGAAAGTAAAGAACTAAGGTAGGTAACACAAATATTCACAATGATTGAAAAATTATTGAACAACTTTCTCCATTGAGACGCAAGATTCACTCGATCAAACTGCTTCCTTGCTAATCGCGTGAGACTGAAAACGAGGAGATCTTAAATCGTACGTTTCTAGACGACCACTAAACGACCCGTGTGCGGGATCCAGATGCTTTGCATAGGAAGTCGAGTAGAGGGGAGACCGTCGTACGATTCGAATCGCGTCGCCCATGTCGCCGATCGACCCGTGTGCGGAGGGCCTAATTGTGCCAGTGTGTGTATATACGTTCAGTTGAATATTTGTTTATCACAAAAATTCAGAATGGGGTAAAAACTGATAAATTTGAACGCCTCGTGTGGTATAAATGCTGAGATGCGTTTAGTTTGGGTCAGGTTTGCACCGGATAGCGGTCAAGAAGTTATCTGGGACATCCCTGCACTGATGAGAGCCAACAGCTTGAAACCGATCTGCAGGAGGTCTCGAGTTCCTGAACCACTTATAGACGCAGCTCGGCGTTTAGGAAGGAAACACTTGCGATTTTATTCGCCTTTACGAATTATTGCACAGATTCCGGGAGGATGTAATCCAATGTTCTGCGTGCCATATAGCCAGGAAAGTAGTTATTTTTCTCTCGTCAGGCCCCTCTTCCCCACTGGGCACACTGGGCACGTGCCCAGGGCCCCGCGAGGATTGGGGCCCCCTAGTCCCGATAGCTACTCTACACTCGCCTGAAAATTAGTCTAACCGAATGCAGCATGTTTAATAAATTTCAATATAATTTTTCATTTCAATTGCCTTTCGCAATAATAATTCATTTGAAAAAAAAAGTGAAAAAATAATAATAGAAGTTTGGTTTGTTTTTTTACTTGAAAACTCTGAATTCCGAAGAGTTGGGACAAAAGAAGACAAAGACAAAGAACTTGCTGTAATATACTATGAAGACGTAAACGAGAAAGAGTTAGAAATGGAATGTCTGCATTTAACAGAATACTTGAAAATTGATCAGAGTAAAAATGAAAAAACAGTATACTGGAAATATATAATCTTTTGAGAGAGCAAAATTGAAGACACCTTTGATAATGTAGAAATCGCACTGAGAATCTTTCTAATCATGATGGTAACTAACTGCAGTGGGGAACGCTCCTTCTCCAAATTAAAACGAATGAAAAGTGAATTAAGAAGTACAATGCTTCAAGAGAGATTGAATAGTTTGTCGCTTATGTCGATAGAATGTGATATGCTGGAAAACATAGATTTCGAAGATGTTATAAACGATTTTGCTCAACTCAAATCTAGAAGGGTACCTCTTCAATCAGCATAGATACTTATACAGGTTAACTCACGGTCGATGGTACGTTAGACGTTTATGGAGAACGAGACATAGGATCATTCTGAAATTTTGGTTACTCACGTAGTTGCTCTTGGTCTATCGATCTAAAATATTTTCAGCTCTGCAGCGTTGCCGCGTCTATCGAAAAGTAGCAACAACTTTGTTATTTTAAATGGAACACCCTGTATTTTATTGCATTTTCAGATTCTCTCTGAAGAGCTGATTTTATAGATGTATCACATTTGGGGTCTAGCGGAAATGATTACAGAGATATATGTCCCAATTAAATATCAGTAGATAGTTAATCAAAAGTTGAGATAGGGACATGTGAGCCGTTTTGACCAATAATGAATAGTTTCGACAAAAAAAATTCGTGAAATTGAAATTGAAAAATGACGATTTTTCAGACCCTATATCTCTGTAATCATTTCCGCTAGACCCCAAATGTGATACATCTATGAAATCAGCTCTTCAGAGAAAATCTGAAAATGCAATAAAATACAGGGTGTTCCATTTAAAATAACAAAGTTGTTGCTACTTTTCGATAGAAGCGGCAACGCTGCAGAGCTGAAAATATTTTAGATCGATAGACCAAGAGCAACTACGTGAGTAACCAAAATTTCAGAATGATCCTATGTCCCGTTCTCCATAAACGTCTAACGTACCATGGACCGTGAGTTACCCTGTATAAGGAGTATAAGGACTAATCGTGGACGCTGGTTACTTAGTGTGAATAATCTATTCATCATATCTGAAATAAAAATAATGCTAAAACTTTGCATTTCTACGTTATTTTCGGTTATTTTTGTCTATTCTAACAAAATAGTACTTTATTATGGTCATAGGGGCCTCATTATTCTAATGTGCCCAGGGCCTCTGATAGGTGAAAGACGGTCCTGTCTCTCGTTATCTACCATTACTATTGTGGTAACGACTTTGAGTTCCTCTCTCTTTGTGACCATTCCACTTTGTGTATTTGTCTTTTTGATAATAGAATATGGATAATATATATCTGTTTCCATAGCGCAAAAGGAAGCCGTTTTTTCAAAGGCAAATGACTATTCATACGCATAAGGTTATATACTGCGCATGCTCAAATGCGCAAGTTCAAATGACATCGTGACATCTAACCTATCATGACATTCATGGATATTTAAGGCGAATTTATGCACACCGCTTCTTCATAATCTGTAATTTGACAATCATTAACGATTTCACTAATAAGTTTGAACTTTGGTATTCCCGTTCATTCATTCATGCACCTAAATTGAATTTCATCTTTAATCATGATCTACAAAGCGCAGATACGGCCTGTTCTAGAATACTGTTCCCACATATGGGGTTCAGCACCAAAACATACGCTGATGCTCTTAGATTCCATTCAGAGAAGAGCCATTCGCCTGGTGGGTGACGCCACACTCACTCACTCTTTGACATCATTGGAACACCGTAGAAAGGTCGGCGACCTTTCACTTTTCTATCGATACTTCCACGGGAAATGTTCTTCGGAAATCTCTGCTATCATCCCTCCACTAGCAATACCAATCAGACGAACAAGACAAGCCCAGTCAGCACATCCTTTCGTTGTCAACCTCGAAAGATGTCGAACAGCACTTTATCAAGACTCCTTCATCCATAGAACGGCTAGGCTGTGGAATTCATTGCCTGTGGAAGTATTCCCAACAACATATAATCTTCAAAAGTTCAAAAAAAATTCCAATACCTACCTCTTGTCCCTATCCTCCCTAGGAACGCACGATGTTCTTTGAACATTATAGGGATTCCCTTTCGTGCGCTCCAAGCGATAAAAAAAAAAATCAACTATTCGGTAAAAGATGGTCAACTTTTATCCATTAACGACAAATACCAATAAATCTGTGACTTGCGCAGGCGCGATTCTGTCATAAATATTTCTTCCTCTTCTTTTTCCGAAATGTGGTTGAAAATTCAGAAAATTCTAGTCGTATGTTCAAATTAGACTCTAAAAACAATATGAAAGAATGATTCTTATTGTAATTATGTGATCACTGAATATTATAACACAAATATTTTCATCGAGTTAAGTACGCTGAGGACTATGTTTTGATCAGGAAGAAGAGTACAAAATTAAAATGGGGTGGTGCATAAAGGTATCATAGTCCTTAAATAAAAATAAGCTTCAATGAGAGTTGATAAGAGCAACAGATTGATGAAAAAACGGTGTGCATAAATCCACCTTTATGCACAAATATCTTAAATTCCTAACGATATCCTATCCCAGTTTTCTTTTTCAGTATACTATAGAAATTCATGTATATTTTATTGCTTCAATAAGGCGAATTCATTGTGAAGTTTTTACATCTCTAAAAGGAAGCTATGAGTTAGATTGGAACGACCATAGGGAGCAGAACAAAACCGCACTGCATTGTGTATGCATTCTATATGCCATTGCATAGACCAAGTATGATCTTGTGATTCAGCATACATAGCGAAGTAGAGACAAAATAACCGAGGACCCGTGGACCCTAGGTGGGCCAAAAGAAATCACCCTGTTGGAAGATGCTCTAATTTTTGCAAATGGCGGCCAATGTCAGATCTGTTTCGACATTTGTGAACTAGACAGATGTAGAATACAAGTGAACAAGTCATGGAGCGATACACTCCCCAAGAAAGCGGAATAATCCAAGCCAAGCCATCCTCAATCACGTGGACGATTTTTTGAACAAAATCATAATGAGCGACAAGGCTCATTTCCACCTCAGCGGGTACGTGAACAAGCAGAACTATCGCTTCTGGGGCACTGAAAATTCACGAGTGATGCACTAGGAGCCATTACACCCGCTCAAAGTGACTGCATGGTGCGCTGTTTACTCTGGAGGAGTCATCGGGCCATTTTTTTCGAGGTCGCCGCTGGTCAAACAAAAACAGTGGATGGTGCGCGCTATAGGGCCATGTTTACCAAGTTTTTTCTGCCTCAATTGAACGAATTAGGACTGAAGGACATGTGGTTCCAACAGGACGAAGCAATGGCACACACTGCGCGAGCCACAACCGATATTCTGAAGGCGGCGTTCCCAGATCGCCTCATCTCTCGTTTTGGCGATTTGCTCTGGCCCACAAGATCGCCCGATTTAACCGTTTCAGACTTTTTGTGGGGATTTTTGAAGTCTTGTGTTTACGTGAACAAACCTGAGACCCTGGAACCCCTCAAGGACAACATTCGACACGAGTGCCGGAATCTGTCGCCCGAAGATCTCGCCGAAGTGATGAAAAATGCCATGAAACGAGCCCGTATAGCAATCAATTGTGGCGGCGCCCATTTGGCCGATATCATCTTCTCGACTTGACCAATAAAATTCTAAAGGTTCAAATAAACATAATCAAAAAACAGAATCGAAGCTTCTCATTTACAAAAAATATTAGAGCCAAATAACATCGGATGACTTCTTTTGGCCCACCTTGTACATCAGTTGGCTCCACCGGAACTATGGTAGCTAGAATTTTTTTAAAATGTCATGCTGATTGATATATCGAAGTATAATTCTGGTGGACCAGAGTGTCTGGTCCACAACATATCTGTGAAGGGTGGGTTAGCTAATCTGGCCTCCACCCCTCTGTCTCGGTCTTACCTTTACTGGGGGCCTTCTTGAAAGGCGGTTCAAACGCTTTGGTCAATCTGTAATTCAGTTTCTCCAAATTCGCATACTCTCTTGCTGCCATCTCGGCCAATTGCATCACTGTCATCTGTTCCTGATAGCAGCTACCTTCTAACATCGTTATTTGGTCACTTGGCAACTTAAAATGAAAGAAAAATATCAATTTCATGTTTTTCTTCCACGAAATAAAAAGAGTATCACCTTATCGAAACTCAACAGTTCATTCCTGTACTTCTCTTCAATGCCCTTCATCATCTCTAACATAGTCAGGTCAGCATCATTTGGGCCTACTCTAGTCTCATAAACGTCTTCTACAAATACGTGCAAGTTCAGTACCTCATGGTCCGTAATCAGAGTCCTGAAGTCCTTATTGATTAAGTTTTTTCCTTGTTCTTCCATGTATTCCGCACGCTCTTCTTCCCAGCTGAAGTGACCGAATAAAGGGATTAACAGGATAATAACGAGGTACAGGAAAAAATCACACCTTCATAGTAGTCTGTCGAGTGAGAAACTAAAAATTAGGAGCGTTTCAAATCATTTTTTTTCACAAAATGAATAAAAGAACAAATTTGTTCAATATAAAGATGATAAATCCAACAAATCTTTTTGGTTTGTAAAGATAATGATGGAAGTAAGATATGGTGCGCGCATTAGGCCATTATTACGTATTGAAAATTTCAGAAAAATCACTCGACCGCCTACTATGATTTCTCTACGTCCACAACGAGCGAGACGTTGATTCTACATTTTCCCGCTAGATGGTGATGCTGCTATTGCTGCTGTGACGAGTGAAAATGAAATGGCAAATGGCATTTTAGGTACGCGAAACATATGTACCAGTGGGATTATTCAACACTGAATTCGAAAAATCTGCGACAATTTCAAAACTGACAGATATCATTTATTTATTTATTTCAGCTATTGCATTACATTCTCTTCTTCATTGATACATTTCATACAAATAATATATAAAGTATAAATAATTTTCTAGTAGGAATGACATGAATGATCAGACAGTAATTCCTGGTATATATAAGATCATTCATGAAGTATTATCGACTGTTGTATAATTGAAATTACAAATAGTGAACAAAACTTACATATCATTAAGATATCTCAAAATAACAGTCATATTATAGTGAACAAGAAGGGGAAAAATAGAAACAGTGAAAAAAAAAAGGAAATTCATAGTATTTCAGCTTTGATCATTCCTTTGCATATAAATATATTTCTTAACTTTATTTTTGAATTGCATAATATTTGGGGATGTTTTTGATATCATCTGGTAATTTATTGAATTTCGAAATCGCCTCATGTGTAAACTCTTTTTGTCCAAGGTTAGAATTTGCAGCTTCAAGATGAAACAAGTTATATTGTCTAGTGTGATGATCATGAATTTCGGAATTCCTGATTAATATAAAATTTGATTTAAGCTTTTTGTTGATGATATAATAGGAAATTTTGAGAGTATTGATTAAAAAGTGCTCTTCCAAAGAAAATGTGTTTATTTCCTTATACAGTTGATTCGTTGGAGTATCATAATGGAAGACGATACAATACTTTCAATGCCTTTTTATATAGAACAGAAATTTTGTTGAAACTATTTTTGGAACAAGATCCCCAAATATTAATGAGATAGTTAATTCGACTGAGTATATGTGAATAGAGAATAATATTTGATGTATAATTATATGTATTAAGTTTAGGACATCTTCTTAAAGCACCAATAATGGGAGATACTTTTCCTATGAGGATGTCAATATGCTTTTCCCATGTTGATTTCTCATCAATCCAAATACCAAGGTATTTGGTATGGGCAGTTTGTTTCAAACGTTCATTTTTTTTTTCTAATATTCAGATCAATATTTTGTTTATTTCTTTGACGAAAAATTATATATCGAGTCTTATTAGAATCAAGAGAAAGAAGATTGGGATAAAGCCATTTCTCAATTTTTTTCAAGTCCTCATTTATGATATGTTCAAGAACTACTGGGTTTTTATTCTCATATAGAAGCAATGTCGCCATCTATTAGAAGATCGACGGAACCATTGCTCTCACTGTTCTCGAGAGGTCGAGTAAAATTTCTGAAACATCAGTAATTACACCATATCTTACTTCCATCATTGTAAAGATTATCATTTGGTTCCAGGTAATGTAAATTGTAAATGCACTCAATTGTTTTATTTTGTAATTTCATTAATGGTTTCAAATATGATCCCCTTTGTGCTTCCCCAAATTGATTTTATCATTATATTTTCATTATTTTCAAGGAAATGTTATGAAAAATATCGTTCATTATACGTCCAGAAATGATTTTGTCTACGGCTATAACACAGAATTGCTCTATTTTTACTGTGTTCGATACATCAATGAGGTACTTTGTATGTCATCAATTTTATTTCCGTATCTGATACCACAATGACTCCATCGTGTTACTATTTCAAAAAAATCGCATCGCCCATGGAATGTCAAATTTCAAGCAATGACAGCACTGTCACATAGATGAGCATTACTTGAGAGGAAATCAAACGAGGGTACGAAGGAATCAAAGATGTCGCTGTAATCTGTTACAGCCGTAGAAAAATTATAGTGTATAACTCGCACGTAATGCTAATGTTCCACTCGAATTCATTCTCGTGGGAAATCACTATCATTCCGTGCTCGTTGAACTGTTTCCTGTTTCAACAATGAGGAAAAATATGCCAGCAGAATATTCAAAATATCAAAACAAAATAATAACTTCAAATCTGAACTGAGGATACCTGAAGAAGCAGGAAGTTGAGACTCAATATGGTTGTTGGTCATGGATACTGCTTCTAACATGAAATATTTTTGTATGTAAGTAGATACAGTCATTCCAAAGTGAACTGGAGCAGCTCCAATGAAAAATATACGTCGCGCGTGGATTAGAGATCAAACATTTTTTCTATCTCTGTTTAGGTACAGTTATGATAATGTAAGAGATGTAGACTTAAAACCTAAAATTGTCCATATTGAAGAAAAAAAACCTATTCAATTGAAACATAATATGAGCTATTGACATTTTTCAGTAGACTAGCGCTATTGAAATACAGACAGACAATATTGTAATGATATTCCCCTTAGAGGGGCTCTAGAAATATCATCAGGAAGGCAGGAGTACAACTATCATTCTGTAACACGCATCCCAGATTGTTCTCCACCCTCTCAATGATTCCTACATGTACCAGCATATTTCCGAACACTCAATATATGCCGCGGTGACAAATAACGTGTCAGAAGATTCTGGAATGTTCTGGAAACAATCGATGGAACAATTAGAGAGAGAGGTTTTGTTCTAAGAAGCTTCTAGAACAAAAAGAAGGAGACAGAAGATCATTCGAGAACGTTCTTGAACCAAAGCCTACCAATGGATCTTATATATAAGACGGCCGAACACCTGAGTCAGGCAGTTAAGCAGCGAGTGTCAGAGAGACAGTTATATACTGCGTGATATAAATCGTTTTACATAAATAGTAGTTATAAGTTCGATATAAATTAGTGTTTCTTTAGTTTAAATAAATCAGTTCGAAAATAAATAGTGTCGTGTTCGCTTCTGCACCCGAATAACGTAACAATATTATACCTGGTAAGTCTGAATTCAAAGAAAAATAACAAACGAACAAAAATCAAATACAAAAGAGTGGTCCTTCATTTATGAACTTATCGATAGATATATTTGTCGAGTTAATCATAAAATTCACCGTATGCCGCCTTCCAGAAAATCTATTTCTGCCTGAAGAGATTTTATTTCTACATCGAATAACTTCTCTGCATCCTTAATAGCGTCTTTGATGTTGGCCAAAGGAATTGCCATTTCCTCGGTGTGCATCAATGAGTTCAAATTCTGTATTTGCATGTACTGAAACACCTCCATGAGTTCTTCTGGTTCGGTGAAGTAAATTTCTGGCGGAGTGTCGTTCTTGACTTCTTCGCGAAAAGCTTCGAGAATGTCACTAAGAGATGGCGCTTTTTCTGCAAGGAGTCAAGGTTGGTAGAATTGAATGATTATTTGTAGGGGAAGGTTGCCTTGATCAGTAAAACGCCGTGAGAAGAATTGGTAATTCTTTACTTCATCACATCTTAAATTCCATTTCTGATTCATGAGAATCTATATTTTACAACTGTCTTCAGGTATATTTACTTATCCAGCTGTGATATACAATTATACATACATTATGATGATAACAACATAAAATATTTGATGCTATTACGTCACGAATAACTACTCACCCTCGCCCCGTTTTCTGATCGAGGCAACTTTCCTCTATTCGCGGGAATCAATGTTACCAGGTGGCGCTCGGTTTTCATCGTTCTATGTCAAAGCCACGTCAAAACTGGGGGAAAACAAACTCAATCCTCACTCAATTGTCTCAATCCCATTAGTGCCATTAGCTTGTGTACTGTGTACTGATAAGAGTGATGAGTTTTTAAATGTCTTTTATTTATTTATTTATTTATTTAACAATTTGGTGACCCAACAAACAATTTAATGCCAATAACAGGGTCGCTCGAAGGAAAATAATGGCACATACAATAAATCAGTCTTACTATAAAAGTGATAGCATGAGAGCAAAATACAACCATAGATCTATGATACAACTAGAACAAAAAGAAAAAAAAAATACCTGATTTGCTAAAAAAGAAAATGCCTTAATAGTAGTATATTTTTATGTTATGCTATAGGTAACTATTTTAATTTTAAACAATTTACATTCTATAGTTTGGAAATATTTAATTCACTGTCACTGCTGCTGACCCAGTATAGAGTATGATATAACTTTCAAGCTACGCAAGGTGATACTGAAAATGTCAATCTGACTGAAAAAAGTGTTATAATTTCTCTGTAGTTTGCTGATGGGTGAGTTATTTCCATAGTTCGTAGTGAAATAGGGTGCATAAAACAAGTAACAGGATCGAGAAGAAATGGATTTGACTCGTATATCTATTTTTCCCAATATTTCGGTACTATCAATTTTATTGTTGAATAGCTTGTACAGAAATATCATACCTGCGACCAGTCTCCTAGAGGTTAGTTTGCACATTTTGTAGTGATTTAGTCTACGTTCGTACGGCAAAAATTGAAGATCTCTGTTATATCTGTAGTTAAGAACATTTAAGAATTTTTTTTGGACTCTTTCGATTCTATCTATATATTTGTAGTAACAAGGATACCATATTAAAGATCCATATTCTAGGTGGCTCCTCACAAATGAATTGTATAGTATTATTAATGAATGCGGATTTTGAAATTGTTTCGTTACTCGAGATATGAAGCCAAGATTCTTTAGTGATTTCCGAACTATGGAATCAATATGCTGTTCAAATGTTAACTTTTCATCCAATACTATTCCGAGATCTTTAATTTTTCCGACTGATATTTTTATTGAGTACAGGGTGTTCCTAACCACTCTGACAAAATGGAAGAAGTGTGAATCCTCACTTGAATTCGAGACGAAGATAAGGAATATAGTTGTTATTTCGAATGTCGCTAAGTTCTCAAGTTACATGGAATTCAAATTTTGATTTCAAATTGCTTTTTTATTTTCATTTCAGACGTAAATGCTTCACCCAATTTCGTTGAATTCCGATTGAGTTTTACAAATGTATTTGTGGCGGGCTTATTTAACCATTGATAGAAAACGAATTATCAAGTCCAGTGGCGTCCGGAGAGGCATCTCAACCAATTTTATGGAGAATAAGAAATATACGCCACTGACTCTTCCTGTAATGTCAATTTCTGGAATACAGGAACGAAAACATAAGGTTTTCGATTATCAGCACGATCTTTCCAATCAATGGAAATCATGCATCTTTATTTATCGGAATACAAATCCCTTCGATTTTGAGAAACATTTTATGTTTTTTGGAAACCACAAGAGCGCCTAACGTGTTTTTGATGTACATACCTATACAGGGTGTTTTATAATTGAATGCTGATCCTAAAGGGCGATGATCCTTGGATGATTCTAAGGAGAGAAGTTCATATCAACATATGTCCCGAACCTCTTAGTTTTTGAGCTACAAGGTGTTGAAATCAGAAACGTACAGCGTTTTTTTAAACTAATTATTCGATATCAGGTCTACGAGGACATCACTGGTTAAAGTAAAAGTTTGATTGTTGTCCCAAAACAAAATGTGTTTCCACTCATAGTGGGTGTCTAGTGAATTACCAAAAACAATATCCAAGAACTGAAGGAACAAAATTCTTTGGTTTTTATTTTTTTACGCGAAAACGGTACGTTGTATGAAAGTAAGTCTAGGAACCAAATTTGCTCCAAAATGAATAAGAATTGAAAAAAAAAATCTGGTTCTCAGAAAAATCAGTGGCGTACTATTTTTTCTTCAAAAATATCTTCCACGTAAAAGAATGCTCCTCAATAATGAGAAGGTGTATACAAAATATCATAACAATATCTAAGAGTGATGAAAAATTATGATAACTCATTTTTTTCTTGAAATTTCATCACCCTGTAGCTCAATAACTAAGAGGTTTAGGACATATTATGTAGATATGAACTTTTCTCTTTGAAATCATCCAAGGATTATCGCCCTTGAGGATCAGCATTCAATTATGAAACACTCTGTATAATGTGTTGAATTTCAAAGATCATTTCAAACGTCCCGTCATGACCGCCATTTGGCCATGTTCTAGGATGAGTCGGATATATGGTGACGTCAGTTCTTATAATGTCTTATTATTGGTCGGATAATCTTTCACAAATAGTTGATATGGCTCTATCGTTGAACTACATCCAAATATTTCATCTGAGCTAGTAGGAGAAAACCATGATATTATAGTTATTAATTTGTGACTTCATCGAGTAAACAAATTGTCAAAATATTTCTTACACTCCATAACAGAACATCATGTGAATACTGGCTATATAAAGACTTTGTTCATTGATTGTTGTGTTTCATTGGGATTCATTGTGATATCCTGATTCATTATGATTTATTATTCATGTTCACTTCTACTCATGTTTGTGTAGTAGTTCATCGATATTTATTACTCATTATTTTATAATTATTATGTTCTTCCTCATACCAGAACTTGTTCAGACTGGAAGATATGTTCGATAAATAAATAAATGAATAAAATAAAAATGTTGTGCTGAATACTGAGAACTGACAAGACAACGCCCACAATCCTTTGTTGTCACGTTGACCGAACCAAATGTCTTCTGGTGTGAATTAACATAATCATCATTAACACAAATTCATCAAAAGCAATAAGACAGAGCATGTTAGAGGGACAATTGATTATTTATAGCTAATCAAAGATATTACTTAAACATAATTGAGAATTTATGAATTATAGAATACGTTATGTTTCCCAAATGTCTCATTCGTATTTCAACATACAGTCTGTCCAAGATAAGGTTGCACAGCATGGGGATCTCGGAAACGGTAGGAGATACGAAGTCGGTTAAATGGGGAAAAAGTTGCGCTTTCGGAGGCTCATACCAACAGCCTTCGAGAATTTTCAAAATTTTTTTAGTTTTTCAGTTATATCGAGAAGAAAGAATTTTTGGAATCTCTATTTTTTTTTTCCGTTATTATTAGAGATACAGGAAAACTTTTCGGTAGCAACTTTTGATGACGTTTAACGTGGTGATACTGATTTTTCTATGCGACGTTTCGTATTCGTAGAACCATCATCAACTTTTGTTTTTTAAATACGGCCCTGATAATTCTTTCACAGATCCTGAAAGATATTTTTATACTGAATTCAACCATGTATTATACAAGGTGGTTTGAATGTGTTTCGAACTATTTTCAGCCATCATCAATGTTTTTTTCGAAATTCCTATGGAAAAATGCCATCAGTTCCACTTATTTTGAAGAAAAATTAGCCAATAAACTAATACCTCATCAACTAGTTCCGATTGATAGACTTATAGGAATAATTAGTTCGAAAAATTTAATTATAACAAGCTCCTTCGGATTAAAATATGAATGCAATTCATAAACAATTCGAAGCGCTGCATTGAATAATTTAGTGATTTTTTTTTTACTTTTCAGTATTGAATAACTAGTCCATCAATGTTTGACACTGAATAATCAGAAATAAGTGAAACTGATGGCATTTTTCCTTTGGAATTTCGAAAAAAACATTGATGATGGCTCAAAATAGTTCTAAACACATTCAAACCACCTTGTATAATACATGGTTTAATTCAGAATAAAAAAAGCTTTCAGAATCTGTGAAAGAATTATCAGGGCCGTATTTAAAAAACAAAAGTTGATGATGGTTCTATGAATACGAAACGTCGCATAGGAAAATCGGTATCACCACGGTACACGTCATCAAAAAATGCTATAAAAAAGTATTTTCAGTTTTCCTGTATCTCTAATAATAACGGAGAAAAAAAATAAAATAGAGATTCCAAGAATTCTTTCTTTTTGATATAACTGAAAAACTGAAAAAAAAATTTGAAAATTTTCGAAGGCTGTTGGTATGAGCCTCCGAATGCGCAACTTTTTCCCCATTCAACCGACTTCGTATCTCCTACCGTTTCCGAGATCCCCATGCTGTGCAACCTTATCTTGGACAGACTGTATAGCAACTGTGCTGTGCTGTGCTTTTACGGAATCGTGACTTCAGGTTTCATTTGCGTTAAATTTCTAGCCGTTTGAAAATCATCGTGACAATATTGATGATTTTATCACCTCAAAATCGACCGAAAAATCTAAAAAAATATGGAACTGAAAAGGTAATTAAGTGGATGATTCTACTGAAAGAATAATTTAAAATAGTCCACTAAGCCAATTAACAATTCGACAGTTTTTGATCGTAAGGAAATACTAAAATATTGACGGTGGCGCCGATTCATTCACATTTTTTGACACCTCTGTGGCCAACCTCATAACATGGAATGTCTAACGTCTAAAAATATGGTCATTTACTCCTTTTTCCCGCACCACGTTATTTGATCGAGGCAAGCTCATTTCCATTTTTGCAATCAATTTGCAGTTCTACCAACCTTGGATAGATTGCCTGAATTTTCCAAAGATGTCCGATTCGTCAGCCTGGTCAGGCTTCTGTACGTAGATGCTGATGCTTTTACTTTTCATATTACATCCACTCGTGGACCTCCAGGAAACAGGGCTGACGTTGTGGAGGAATCTCTGGTATAACTTGCAATTCCTCCATTTTTGCTCGGACTGGTACAATGAAGATTTTGCTGCATCATATTTCTTGGAACATGCCTTGATAGAAATATCGATTATCGGAGCAACAAAAATGAATGAATTCGCAATTTAAGAAAAGATTTTCTTGAATTGCGATTTCATTCATTCTTGTTGCTATATACCTCCTTTGCTATTGGCCGTGGACACAAAGTTAACTGTGATTTTTGTAGACAATTTCATATTCTACAAGACTGAGTATGATGCATTTGGCAATCATGCGCCGTTTAGGAGTTATGAGCGAAAAACTAGAAGATATGCTGTTTTTGGCTGTTTTTTTCAAGATAGCGGAAAACGCAGAGGGGTGGGGATGACGAAAACTCAGGGTTTTCACTCTCTAACCATCCCGAACAACATATAAACAAATCAGGACTACCTGATTCAATGTACATAGGGAACAATGCATCAAGGAACCATGACATAAACGAACTGTAGAACTGCTCAACTTGAACAGGGTACAGATAAAAACTGTCACGGGACTCATGAATGGCCATGCGCCAGTAAATCAGCACCTCACCAGAATGGGACTGTTTAATGGATGATTCGAGAAAGTATTGCGCGATTGCAAATTGAAATCAGACTTGTTCATGGTACAGAGATAATGGAGTAGGTACAGGGTGATTCACCATAAATGTCCCCCTCTCTAGCTCAGTTATTTTTGAACCGATTTCAAAATTTGAAATATCATCTTGAATGATTTTTGATAAAGTTTTTTTTCGCTACATCAGCAAATACAGGGTGCTCGGAACAAACGATCTACAGGGTACTATTTGATTTTTTTATATGGAACACCCTATTTTTCATTGTATTTTTAGATTCTCCCTGAAGAGCTGATTTGATCAATGCATCACACTTGGGGTCTAGCGGGAATGATCACAGAGATATAGGGTGTTCAAAATCGAGATTTTTCAACTTTAGGATTTTTTTGAGACGAAACTATTCATTATCGGTCAAAACGGCCTTCATGTCCGTATCTTAACTTTTGATTTACTATCTACTGACATTTAATAATTGGAACAGATACAGGGTGATCAGAATTCTGAATCTTGAACCACCCTGTAAATGTTCCAATTAAATGTCAGTAGACAGTAAATCAAAAGTTGAGATGGAGACGTAGAAGCCGTTTCGACCAATAATGAATAGTTTCGGCACAAAAAAATCCTTAAGTTGACAAATCTCGATTTTGAACACCCTATATCTCTGTAATAGTTCCCGCTAGACCCCCAAATGTGATATATTGATGGAATCAGCTCTTCAGGAAGAATATAAAGAAACAATGGAATACAGGGTGTTCCATTTGAAAAAATCAAGTAGTACTCTGTAGATCGTTTGTTCCGAGCACCCTGTATTTTCTGATGCAACGGAAAAAAAATTCCGAAAAATCATTTGAGATTATTTTTCAAATTTTTGAATCGGTTCAAAAATAAGTGAGCTAGAGGGGGGACATTAATGGTGAATCAACCTGTACAATAAAAACTACTAGGTAAGATACAATGGGCCACTAGACCTAAGTGTCGTCGGAGACATCTGTCAGACTAGAGTTCAGAGTTCCTAAATGAACTTTTTGTACAAAAAAAACAGACAAATAGACAATTAAATATTGAAAATATCAGAATTTCGATTTTTACTAAATCACTGACAACTTGATAACAAACGGCTAGAATCGGCCAATTATTTGACACACTACGGATCTTGATCATCAACATTAGGATTCATATGATTTCCTCTGATACAATGTCCGGTTTGCCATATATAGGGTGATGACAATTTGAAAGCTTAGAATTTATGTAACTCATGTACAAAATGAGATACATATCACAAATGGTTCATAGCTGTTTATATAATATATAAAGTGGTAAATAAAATGTCTCATGTAATACCCCCACCAACCCCCTGAGTCACTACCACCCCAACGCATATCATTTCAATAGTAGCCCCTACTTGTGATACCTCATTGAATAGCTCGGTGAAAATGTATTCCAGTGGTATTATTCATATCACGGACTGGGTGAACTAACAAAAAAATTCATTACCTATATCGTTCTGCTATGCTAGAGTGACGTTTTAATTAAATAACTTCTCGTAGGATGCAAAAAATCGTTTATATCGAGCACTATAAAGACCTATTGCTGAAAAAGTTATGTTCAGGTGATTCGAAACAATGATTTGTGTACAGTAGATCGATGTAGCGAGAGAACACGGCAATGTACAGAATGTCTGGTTGCAGGTAAGTCAATGATAATAATTGTCGAGTTCAATGAGTGGTTATGGAATGGGAAATGGCTCATCAGTCCGAGATATGAATAATACCACTGTAATGCATTTTCACCGAGCTATTCAATGAGGTATCAAGAGTAGGGGCTACTATTGGTGGTTGTGACTCAGGGGGTTGGTTTTATTTTCCACTTTATATATTATATAAACAGCTATGAACCATTTGTGATATGTATCTCATTTTGTACATAAGTTACATCAATTCTAAGCTTTCGAATAGTGATCACCCTATATATGGAAAACCGGACATGGTATCAGAGGAAATCATATAAATCTTCATGTTGATGATCAAGATCCATAGTATTACAAATAATTGGCCGATTCTAGCCGTTTGTTTTCAAGTTTTCAGTGATTGAACAGAAATCGAAATTCTGATATTTTCAATATTTGTCTATTCCCATGAATATAACATTGTCATGATGGAATGCAATACCCTGTATGTGATATTATTATCTATTCGAATAGAGGAACTCATGAGGTAGAAATCAAACGTGGAGCGGTCATTTCTACTGAAGATTTATCACGTTAGAGCAAATAATTCAAATCGATGCAAAATACTTTAAACAGCCAAAATCAAATGATTGATACCCTGTAGCACAGAAACTGGTCATAGGATCGATCTGTAAATTGGACTGTGTAATAAGGACGCTAATATCTGAAACTTTTTAGAAAAATTAGCCGAAAGCCCTTTTCCGTACTAAAATTGCGGGGTCCTTTGCGCTCACCTTCAATTCCCAATATTTTTCATCGGCGTTATCAGCAGCCTCTTGAGACAACTTCAGTAACTTCATTGCAGACGAGTGATCTCGGTATAGGAATTCTTCGAAAATATTCACGTATTTTTGATAGTTCACTTGAATACTGTCTATCAATTTCTGCTCGTGTACGAGATTTTCCTCGATCAACCGTATGTCGTCCTCTCGATATCCGTTTATGATCCTGGTTCTGAGGCATTCTTTGTTTATCTCGATGTAATCTCGGATGCTGTGACTGTCAGGAATCGGTCGACCTTAAAAAGCTACGAATACTACAATACGGATATAGATAATAGCAATTGAGATGGTTATATAGCGACCAACTGGATCACACCAGATATCTTGAGAGTCAGAATCAACTACTAACTAAAATATACGAACATTTTTCGAATATAGAAGAACGCGTGATTTCGTGAATGACATTGTTATGAAGACTACGAACCGTAGGCGAGTTGTTTTGGATCAATGTCATGAGCGAAATTGAAGCAGCAAACTGGAATACAGGGTGTTTCACAGGTAAAGGGCAATATTTCAATGGTAGATTGGGGTCACCAAGGTGGTTCTGAAAATACCATATTTGATAGGTCTTAGAGTTTTCATAACGGAGATACAAGGCGATTTATCGATTTCGAATAATTATTCATTCGTCTATAAGTATTGAACTACCCAGTATATTTTTCTTAAATTTGGTATGGAGCTCAAACTTGGGACATTGAATTCATTCACCTATCGGGCGAAGAGAAAATCCAGGTTCGGCTTCAGGAAAAATTCACATTTATTCGAAATATTAAAATAACACACTGTATGTATTAATTGACAGAGTTCATCAAGGGAATCGTAAAGAGGAGGAAAAACTGAACTGGATTTGATGCTTTTTGTTTTCCCGCCACCAAGTCTCATCGTAACAATCATAAACAGAAAGCTAAAAGTATGTCAATTTGAAGAGTATTGAAATTATGAAACCAGTGTCAATTATGATTATTCGATATATTTCAGCAAAAAATCGCTCGAAAGAACTTACTAAGTCTCACAGTTTTTATAACGGAGATACAGGGTGAATCATCGGTTTTGAATAATTATTCACTCGTCCATAAGTATAAAACTACCCAGTAACATTTTCTCAAATATGATATGTAGCTTACTTGGGACGATGGATTCATTAACCTATCAGGCGGAATTATAATTCGATAATTCACCCTGTATCTCTGTTATGAAGACTATGAGACTTTTCCTGAAGATGAACCTGTATTTCCATTCTGCCAGATAGGTCAATGAATCCATCGTCCCAAGTAAGCTCAATACCAAATTTGAGAAAATATTACTGCGATGGGCAGTTTAATACTTATGGGCGAGTGATAATTCAACCTGTATCTCTGTTATAAAGACTGTGAGACTAAGTAAGTTCTTTCGAACGATCATTCAACAAGAATATATCAAATAATCATAATTGAAAGTGGTTTCATAATTTTAATACTCTTGAAATTGACATACTTTTAGCTTCCTGTTTATGATTGTTACGATGAGAATTGATGGCGGGAACACAAAAAGCATCAGAATCAGTTCAGTTTTTCCTTCTCTTCACGAATCCTTTGATGAACTTTGTCAATTATTACTTACAGTGTGTTATTTTAATATTTCGAATAAATGTGAATTTTTCCTGAAGCCGAACCTGGATTTTCACTCCGCCCGATAGGTGAATGCATTCAACGTCCCAAGTTTAAGCTCCATGCCAAATTTTAGAAAAATATACTGGGTAGTTCAATACTTATAGACGAATGAATAATTATACGAAATCGATAAATCGCCCTGTATCTCCGTTATGAAAACTCTAAGACCTATCAAATATGGTATTTTCAGAATCACCTTGGTGACCCCTATCTACCATTGAAATATTTCCCTTTACCTGTGAAACACCCTGTATATCAATCGACGAATATTTCCAGGAAATATACTATCACGAGTTGAATTCGTATGAAGATTGAATGGGACAATATACAAGGTGATTCTAAAATATGTGGTCAAACTTTGGGAGTATATAGAGTGAGTGAAATAATCACGGAAACCTCGGTAACATTTTTTTCTGAAGTGCCCCCCAAGAAAGATACAGCCCCTCAAAGGGGGGCCTCGGAAAATGATTTTGTATAATTATCTCCAACACTTTGTATGACGAAAATCTGAAATTTTGTTTATCCAGTAACTATTCAGTGCCGGTTCGAATGGAGTTGCAATCACCTCAAAATCAAATACAGGGGTGTGTCAAAATGGGGAGGAAGGGGGTAAAAATAACCTCAACTTTTTTGTTCATCGCAATTTCAGTTTTGTTACATGAAATTATGAAATCTCAGAGCTATTAACATAGAAAAGGAGCTCTTGTTGAATCTCGATAAAATGAACCATTAGCGAATTAAATTGATTTTTCCAAGATTTCATTTAAATTGCAATTTTTTATTTCAATAGTTAAAGTAATGAAAGCTTATTTTCAACAATATTTTTTATTTTATTTTTAATAGGATCAGTCCATAATAACAAAACTCGTCGGCTATTTTGATTTCATGAATTCCCACAACGAATTCTAAATTTCCAACCCCAAAAACCCTCACATATCAATTTTGAATCGAATCGAACCATAATCACAAATCTGGTCAGCCACATTGGAGCCGCCATAACGCATTGTCAACTGTCATCTGCCAGATTCTAAGTTGATCAGACGATTAGAAGTAGGCGAGATTTTACCTAGATAATTAAACTAAAGCACATACCAAAATCGCAATTTAAATGAAATCTTGAAAAAATAAATTTTATTCGCTAATAGTTCATTTTATCGAGATGCAACAAGAGCACCTTCTCTATGTAAATAGCCCTGAGATTTCATAATTTCATGTCAAAAATCTGAAATTGCGATGAACAAAAAAGGTGGGGTTATTTTTACCCCCTACCTCCCTATTTTGACACACCCCTGTATTTAATTTTGAGGTGATTTTAACTCCATTCGAACTGGCATCGAATTGTAATTGGATAGACAAAATTCCAGATTTTCATTATACAAGGTGTTGGAGATAATAATACAAAATCATTCTCCGAAGACCCCCTTTGAGGGGCTGTATTCTTCTTGGGGGGTCACTTCAGAAAAAAATGTTACGGAGGTTCTCTTAACTATTTCACCCACTCTATATGCTCCCAAAGTTTGACCACCTATTTTAGAATCACCTTGTATAAGAAATAGGAAACATGATTTAAGTATCTTCCAACTCAAACTGCGAAGAAGAACATATTATAATGATAGTAATAAAATGCAGAATTCAATTTCTTAGAAATTAACTACCTACCCATAGTTATTCACAAAGGGGTGATTGTTGTCCTCAGAAAAGTGTTTACAACTGCTATCCAATTCAAACAAAATAAATTGACCTGATGTGACAAAATAATTAAAGAAAACGTATTGTCCCCGACGGGCTCGAACCATCGACCTTTGTATCTATGCGCTACAACCCTACCAGTTGCGTTATTTCATCTGATTGTAGAAGATTACTTCCGAAAGGAATTTGATTTCTAGTATTGTCATAGTCAGACCGTCTACAAAAATGCAAACTCTTTAAATTATTCTAAGTATTTTCAGGTAGGTACCTTTCTTTGTAATCAGGATTATCTTCATCACATGCGGGGACCATAGCTCGAATTTCTTTTATTTTCCGCGCATTTCTTGCTTTGAGAAATATCGAAAAACGGGTCGAATGAAATATTGAATTCGTTGTAGTACTTCTCTTGAACTAATTTTGCGGTGGTGTTCCACAAAGCTTTAACACAACTTTCCATGTAATCTTCGCAATGTTTTCTTCTCATATTGAAGGCTCAGTCTTCCAAAATTGTGCTGATTTGCCTGACTGGAGTAGTTGAGACAAACTCATAGTTTCTCAACTTACGAGAGTCCATAAACTGGTTCCATATTGGTGTATGTGTTTTGATTGTATTCTGCGGTGTCAGAATGATGAGATTTTCCCTAATCTCTTTTAGAGAATCATCCCCGAACCGTTCTTCTTGATTCATCGTATACCAAAATAGTATGAAAAATAGGTATAGGTATACCTAATTTATTTTTCCACATGAAACGTCCAGCCAGAATAAAATTGTCTCGCCTTTCGCACAAAATGTCTCACTAACGCGAATTATAAGTAAATAAAACAAAGTAGGTATGTTATTGTGTCTGATTTGAATCCGAAGACATCTTGCCCAGACACGATGTCAAAATTTTATCATATATAATACCACAAGTGATAATATTTTGCCGGAAATATTCGGTGATTGTTACGACAGCTTGTTGCCTAGTAATTTCGTGAATGACATTGTTATCAAAACTACGAGCCATAGGCGAGTAGTTTTGGATCAATGTCATGAGCGAAATTAGAGTACAAAGCTGGAGTATGTCAATCGACGAATATTTCCAGGAAAAATAGTATCACGAGTTGTATTCGTAGGACTATTTCATGATTGAATGGGACAATATATATAAGAAATAGGAAACATAATTTAAGTATATTCCAACTCAGACTGCGAAGCAGAACATAATGATAGTAATGAAATACAGAATTCAATTATTCAGAAATTAACTACCTACTTATAGTTATTCACAAAGTGGAATGTACAATTTTGATAAACAGTATTTTTTTTATTATCTTGGAGATGATTGCTCTCGAAAGAGTGAGTGTATAAAATTGCTATCCAATTCAAAAAATATGAATTGAATTTATGTGACATGAAATAATCAAAAAATATATCGTTGCCGAGGGGCTCGAACCACCGACCTTCGTATCCTCGCGCAACAACCCTATCAGTTGCGCCACATCATCTGGTAATTATAACAGTCACAATAACTTGAATAATTGAAGATTACTTTAAAAAGGAATTTGAATTCTAGTATTGTTGTCAGACCGCCAACAAATATGTAAACTTTTTAAATTACACATGAAACGTCCAGCCAGCGTAACATTTTCTCGCCTTTCGTACAAAATGTCTCACTAACGCAAATTATAAGTTAATAAAATGAAGTAGGAACTTAGGTTATTGTCTCAGATTTGAATCCAAAGCAATCTTGACCAGACACGATGTCAAAATTTTATCGCTGATAAACGAGGTTTGAATATAGAAGAAACCGTGAAAATGGTCGATTCTGATTGGTTCTCGAGATCAAGAGTGGAATAGTCGCTGATAAACGAAGTTTGTTGGTCACGTGTGGGTCAATGCACCTTCTGTATTGGTATAGCAAGTCCGATAAAATTTAATTAACAAAAAATATCGCTTGAATCCAGAAGGAACCGTGAAAATGGTCGATTCTGATCGGTTCTCGAGAACAAGAGTAATTTTAAAACATCAAGGATCACACTTACTTGTCTACTTAACTCCCAATCACACAAAAAACATTTCGAATTCTGACAAATGAATTCAGATTTTCTTCTCATTTTACTTTCCTCAAAATTTGTCGCTACAATGGACATCCCAACAATAAACTATTGATGTCCAGTATGTACTGCCAAGTATCCGGTATGGACATCCAAATGGCTATTCGATGTATGTCCATGTCCATGGACATAAATATAGGCTTCCAGGTCTAAGGCTGTTTAATCTGAGATGTTACCCTGTATCTCAGAGGTCCCGTTTTCGACAAATAACCTCGGTGCCATTCATCCCAATATTCACAAGTCGAGAGCTTCTGATGGCCTACTTACTGACTGAAGTTCAACTCACAATTATGTGATAAGTATAACAACTCAATCATTTCTGATCGAAATATGCAAGTTGTTGGTGTCAGTGGAATCAGAAAAAAACAGCTCTATCAAACAACAACAATCAGAAAAACAGAAAATTATAGACCCCACAGCGAAAAAATCGAACTGTATTGTATTCATCATCAGTTTCAAGAGACGTAACCAGGAAATCGATAGTGAAAGAAACAAACATTTCCAACTTTGCATTTTGCTTGTTGTGAGATTGTATTAGAAACACAATATTGAATGAATCATTTCGATAGACATGAATACATATGTTTCACTGGTTTTTTGTTCCTATAAGAGTAGTAGCTATTGACGTATAAGTAAAAGTACCTTCTATAACTTTGAAGTATTGGGGATCAATATCGAGAACAGTTTTCATAGACTCAACTTTAGGTTCTTCAACGTACAATCTATTCAATAAGTCTGCTTTTCTTCTTCCCTGATAGCTCGTTTTATTGAAACAGTTCACTTTCAATTCTTTCCGTCTAACGTCATCCCTCCAGGCTTTCGTCATAATTCTTTGAGCAAGTTCGTCCAAATCTTTCGGATAACTGCAAAGGAAAATTAGTTTGTCCACCACTAACCTGAGATACCATGCACCCATAATTGGAGATTTTCTCTTATGAGAAGTAACACTTTTTTAACCTAGATCAAAAATTATATAGAAATTTCACCTCGCTTCGCTCCTCCCGCGGTAAAACTGCAATTATCACATCTTTTGGTCCGTATTTATATATTATATAGCAAAATTGTTTGAAAGTATAATATTTGAATATCTTTATCATGATGTCATGCAAATTTTGAATATACAACAACATGGATTTGTCAGAAAGCGCTCTGTCGAAACAAATTTATTCGAATATACTGAATATATATTGAAAAGCTTGAATAGCCGAATTCAAGTGGATGCCGTTTACACCGACTTCAGCAAAGCTTTTGATAAGATCGATCATACATTGCTGGTACAAAAGCTGGCTGATGTCGGTGTAACCGGCTGCCTATTGAATTGGTTTCAATCTTACGTGAGTGATCGTAAACAGGTTGTTTGTATTGGCAACTATCTCTCAAGATCAGTTAACATAACGTCGGGTGTACCTCAAGGTTCACATCTAGGTCCCCTACTATTTAACATTTATATAAATGACATTTCTGAATGTTTCAAATTTTCGTATTTTCTTATGTATGCTGATGATCTCAAAATATTTCATACAGTTTCACACTTGGACGATTGTAAGCTAATTCAAGAGGACCTTGACCGATTTTCAGAGTATTGCAGGAATAACGCCCTTTTTCTGAACCTCAACAAATGCCATCAGATGACATTCAGTAGAAATTTCAACTTGATAACCAATAATTACACCATTCAGGATCATAATCTCCACACCTGTAGTGAAGTGAAGGATTTGGGAATTATCTTCGATTCGAAAATGACCTTCAATGAACATATTTCTCACATATCTAAGAAAGCGAACAAAATGCTAGGTTTCATTTTAAGAACAACTTATCCTTTTAGAAATCATAATACCTTGCGTACTCTTTTTATGTCATACGTAAATAGTCTGTTAGGCTTTGCGTCAACTATTTGGAACCCCCACTATATAATAAACATGAAACAAATAGAAAGTATCCAGAACAAATTCATTTATTATGTCAACAGAAAATATTTCGATAACACTCCACAATATCACTTCGTACATCAAAAACTCAATTTGATCAGTCTTGCTGACAGAAGAGCTATTGCCGACATCAAATTTTCTTTCAAAATTATAAATGGTATCATTCATTCTCCATCCATCAATAACTTGATTTATTACAATATTCCACAATATTCCACCCGCCATTATAATCTGTTCCATACATCCATACCAAACACAAATTACTATTTGAATTCCCCTTTACATCGATGCTTGAAAAGTTATTTCAAACATAATAGAGATTGATATTTTTTCTGACTCTTTAACTACCTTTGTGAACAAACTTAAGAAACACTTTGTACTATCGCCTAATTGATATGTTCAGTATTTTTTTCATATACATATAAAATATTTCTACTGTATTGTATTGAATTGCAACATGACATATTTAGTAGTATATATGTGAATACTGTTTCTGGGTTCGTCCCGTTTGTATTCCTGTTTGTGAAAATAAAATAAATAAATAAAAAATAAATAAATAAAAAATATTTGTGTCTGAACTTCGCGAATTTGATAATGAAAATGTGATTGATATTTCACAAATTCCCCCTTCTTTTATCATCATTGGACAATTTATATATCACAATGGAAGCTATGCTTGACCTACTACCCTTGCATATTTTTATCAAGAGGACTGCAGCTCTCAGTGCATACAGACTGAACTCCACTGAATTGGCCAGACCAGGTGATGTCACTGGTCACATGGTCATTCTACAAGAAGTGCAAATGAAATCTACAACCCAACCATCAGACATAATGCTAGCCAGGCTCAGTTTCGATCATACCTTTGAAGTGGTTATAAAAAACCGCCCTAGGTACGGTTCCGCTGAGCCTCAGCTGGACAGAGGGTCCCTTGTTTGGTACACCCATGGTTCGAAAATGGAACAAGGGGTAGACGCGGGTGTATATGGACCCGGATGTAGGCTATTTGAAGCCTTAGGTCACTCCCCCACTATCTTCCAAGCTGAAATACATGCCATCAACCTTTGCGCCCAAAGGTGCCTGAGCAAAAGTCTGAGGGGTGCCAGCATATATTCCTGCTCAGACAGCCAAGCCGCACTAAAAGCTCTAAAATCATTCGTTTTCACATCAGAGATTACATGGGACTGCTTTGAAACACTCATGCAACTGGGAAAGGGCAACAAAGTCACACTTATGTAGGTTCCAGGGCATGAAGGAATCAAAGGGAATGAGGCAGCTGGTCGCCTTTCAAAAAAAGGTGCAGCATCTGCACTTTTTGGTCCTGAGCCTTTTCGTGGGATAAGCAAATGTCACTTAAAGGGAGAACTCAGGAAATGGGAAGAAATTGAAAAGTCCTCCTACTGGAGAGCAACTCCAGGTCAACGACAAGCGAAAAGGTTCATCAACCATTCGCAGAACCGAGCCAAAGAGCTACTCAGCCACAGCAAACCAGAGCTAAAGCTTATCACAGGCTTTCTCACAGGACATGGCCCTCTGAGGTACCACCTCAAAAAGATGGGCCAGGCGGAGACTGCCACTTGCCGCTTTTGTAACAATGCGACCGAAACCGCGGAACACATACTCTGCTCATGTGAAGTATTACTCCGCCAAAGGCTGAACCACCTAGAACAGGTCTATCTCACCCCTGCTGAAGTGGAAAATTCAACCCTCAGGAAAATCGCAGGCTTCATCAGAAGTCCAGGGTTAGAGGACCAAAACTAGATAGGGGTAATCACAATAGATCTTCTAGGTCGCAGTGATCGAGAGGTCTCTCAGCCTATACGACCCATCTACAATCTACATCTATATTAGTTATTGATATATTTCACAAATTCCCCCTGCTTTTATCATCATTGGACAATTTATATATCACAATGTACTTCAATGACACATTTTTTTCTATTATATTTTTCTTGTGATTTATCCATATTTAGTGAAAAGAAGGAAGAATATCATCTAAAATTATGGCGTGTGTCATGTCATTCAAAAGCAATCGTATCTCATCTCGTATCTGAATTGATTATCATCTGGTATGATTGTTCACTAAATATGAAAAACTCGCCATATAAATTTCGTGTTGAATTCTCTATATAAAAATGTGTCATTGAAGTACATCATGAGTATATAAAGTGTCCAATGACAAAATAAAAAGAGCAGGGGAAAAAAGAAGGCGAAATTTCGAACTCTTTCTTGAAATCTCTCGATATATAGTGGTTTGTTCACATTTTTATTTCGCAAATACCAAAAAAAACTTTTCGAATAAATACCCATCGAATGATAAGTGCAGTTTTACCAAGATTGGATCTCTACCAATGCATCAGAAATTGAATCTCTTTTTATTACTTCAGCATCAGAAACGTGAGTAAAAGCGAACAATTTTCAATATTTGGTATGACCAACCTGTATGGTGAAGGATCTTCATCCAAACACCTCGCATTTTTCTTATCGATTTTCGACCCAGCAGTGAAATATTTCTGCCTCGCCAGAAACCTTTGTTTCGGTGTAGCTTTCGACTGTTTTGCTTTCCTCGTCTTCAGTAAAACCGCTGGTTTTTCTGGTAGAAATTTCGTCATTTCATGTTCGTTCGTTGTGGTTGATGACGTTGGAAAAGCTAACTGGTCCAGTTCGGATGCTTGTGAATCATGTTCAGTAATGTCCAACAAGCTCTTCGACATAATTATACATATATATATCTCCGTATATCAGAGTTTAGTACTTATAAAAATCTTCGATTTGATACGAATGGAGAATCACTATGAATACTGACGCAGCACCTTGCTTGATAAGTCAATATTGCTATGGAAATGAAGGCTTACGAGAGGGAAACGAGAGGGGCATGAGAGGGTATACATCGATCTCTTTTTATTAATAATATACTGGGGGAGATAGAAAATCACTGGAAGAAAGAATGCCGAAGCATACCTAACATTTAAAGTAACATTTCTATCATTTTCGAACTGTCATAACTTTGGATTGGATCAACCAGTTTTCAATTTCTCTCAAGATTGTATCAGCACATTTTATTGAGTACAACTTCAGTACTTTTTCGTTATATCACTTTCCCGACATGATGACCTGCAGGGTGATATTTGAATATGTGATAATTTTCGAAAAGTTTGGAAACGCCCTGATTCACCGGTAATTTAATATTTTATTGAGGGCGATAAAATGAAGCACCATAAGTTTTCTCGAAATGGTTTTGGATTCGAGAGGATTCATACAGGATGTTTCGATATATAGAATGTTTCACAACATATTGCATTCTGATATGTTGAACCCTACTAGGTTTTCATTTAGATCGACAATGGTTGAACCACCATAAACTCAACTTCAACAGCATTTAAAATTGGCATATCTTCAACGCCATTACTACACGATGTTTCGGAACTCTGGAAACCAAGGTTTGCTTGAAAAATTCGACGATACCTGGTATATGTACAACACATTGTATAGTGATAGCATGTGATAGCGTTGAGCAGGATAACCTAATCTGAAATTCTATTGAAGTTGAGTTTATGTTGGTTGAACATCAGCAGAATGCAATATATTGTGACAACAACCTGAATCAAAAACCATTTCGAGAAAACGTAGTATGCTTCAGATATCATATCGCACTCAATGAAACCTAAAATTGAATCTCAAACTTTTCGAAAATTATCACATTCTCAGGTAACAACCCTATAGGTCTTTATGTCGAAAAGGTGGAATAACAAAAAAGTACTGACATTTTACTCAATGAATTGAGCTATCAGAATTTTGAAGGAAATTGAAAATTGGTTGATCCCATCCCAAGTCATGACTGTTCGAAAATGATAGAAATTTCTGCTTGTCTCACTTCAAATATGGGTCAGTTCGGTTCAAAATTCAATTATCAAATCATAAAATCAGTAATATTCAAGAATAGACACGCAAAAAGTAGGGATTACGGCAGAAACGAGCATTTCAATCAGGTGTTTGCTGATTGAGTCGTTATATGACCACTTTGAATTTTATTAGAATGTTTGTATATACTGTCTGTAGGTCAATCGAGGAGGTATTATATTCATTTTACTTGATTCTTGGTATTGTATTTATAGTATACCTTGTGTTTGTGGAAAGTATTATACAGGTGATACGAAAAGACCTCTATCAGTGAGGACTAAAGAACACAAGTACAATATCATGAAAATACATATCGATGAATCGAAGCTAACTGATCATATCCTTACTAAAGATGGACAGCATATGGCAGAGTGGAATAATATCAAAATCATAGGGAAGGAAGATAACAACCGAAAAAGGAAAATCAAGGAATCCGCTTGCATTCTTCTAAACGGAGACAATAGCATTGCTTCCTGTTCAGTTGATATAGATAGAACATGGTATTCACTACTGAAAACTGAACATGCAAATGGTAGATTCAAGGTTAATTAATGAAAACATCCTGTTACTCATTTGTAGACTGAAATCACTCATTCATATGCACATAAGTATGACGGAAAGTGTCAAACTATAAGCAGCAAAAGTTTCGAAGAAAAATATTTTGCATTCATATGTTGAGAACGGGAGCAGATTCGGTCCCAAAACGTCCAATGATAAGTAAAAAATCGATATTTTTTCAATATATCTTTATTTCTTTCCTTCACACATTTTTTCAAACAAATTGTCACTGGCAAGCTACTGGATTTTTCTTTTAGACTCTCTATGGAAAAATTTGTTAAATGCAGTGACATTTTGGGGCAAATCATCTGATTTGCCCCACTACAAATATATTGAAATAATACGAATATTTCTCTTTTCGAAATCCGATCTTGAATGATTCAGAAGATACAGCACTGGCCGTTTTTTGTGCACTTCTCTGTATATTCGAAATTTAAATGTTTTTCATCTTCAGTCTGCCTTCTGTGTTTCCATTTATGTCTAGGATGAGTAGAATGTGTTACTGCTGAATACCTTCTAATTAAGGCAGTCCCTTTGCCCTTTGATGTAATCCGTTATCTCAGCACACCACATGTAGATGGAAATAATTTGGGATAATAATGGTCTTATCGCTGACAGTGAGATGTGAACAGAGCCAACAGAGGCGTAGTGTCTGCTACTGTGGTGTCTGTCTGCTTTCACCACAAAAATTAATTGTTATAATGGGGAAGAACACTGAGGGAAGAAATCCGTGCAAACCTCTTTCAATCGACGAATCATGATTTACGTTTGATCTACAATCAATATTATGAGTTGAAGTTGAAGGGAATCGAATCTATATCGTTTTGAAATCAGCATATTTCATTCGTTATTTCGAAAAGCCAAATATGATGGTGGAGCTGTGACGTATTAGTCCAGCACTGTAGCTATCTCTCTCTGATACCTCGTCATTCTGCAGTGTTGCAGTGTGAGTGGTGAGTTCAAGGACAATAGGCGTGTTGGGACTAAGACGTCGCACCAGTCTCACCAATGAATTGACAAAATTTCAAATGGCGCAGGAATTATGTGTTTAGAAATGGACATATTGTCACGACCCATGGCTACAGGGTGGTGACTCGGGGGTGAACTCGCTTGGGAGGCCGAGAAATCAGGGGATGAACCATAGTGAAGGTTAGCTGATCAGATCCAAACTGATCCCTTGCCTTATCGGCTGTTCGATATTTATTTAGAATATTTTGATATAGTCAGCGTTTTACTCCATATGCGGGTATTTCATTCCGGTTGAATGAGCTGCCAACGTGAGTGAAACATTATACTCGTTTCCTTTAATCGAATGTTATACGATAAAATGAATAATGAACTTTTATTAATGAATCTTGAATCAATATAATTTTGAATAGTGGCTATGAATATTTTTGGTTCCTATCGTGACAATATTCTAATTTATTTTTTTCATCGTCTTAGCATGAATGAAAAAATTCAAAATTAATTCACTGGTAGTTTTTCAGTATAGAGTTCACGATAATGTCGTTTCAAAAAATCAGTGGTCTCCCCCATTATCATTATGTGTTTATGGTAGTGGAGGTATATGTGGCCCATCTTAATGTGTCAAATGTTTATTGGTAAAATGGAAAACAAAACGTACAATATTTTTCAACTATACTCATAATACTAAGAAGAAAACATACAGAACAAAACTCTCTCTTGGGTCATATTTCAAAACGGGTGTGAGATATGGCCCGATTGTATAAACTACCATATCTCGCAGGAATATGACTGAATTGTAGGAAATGAGCTCGATCACTTCTCATTTTATTTTGTATGATGATGGCACTTCAAACATACAAAATTGTCTGTGTCTCATGGCCCTGTCGATATACCGGGTGATATCCCAGATCGTTTGATACAGCCAATATCCCAGCAATATCCAAGCAGCATGGAAAGAAATCACACTTTTGTCAAACTCATATGACTTTGAAGCCGTTGTGTCGAAGTCAACTTCTCTTCAACTATACTCCTGGTAAGCCACCCCCTACTTCATTCATTCAAATTATACCCTATACATTTCATAAATGTTTTGTGAAGTGCAATAAATTCTAACTTCAACGATGTATCACTCTTGATATTTTGACAAACGGTAAGGGTGCCTTCTTTCAGTAACTTCTGAAAGATGAAGTGCTTCTATTTATTTTTAACCATTTCCATTAGAACGGAAAAAACGCAGCGTTTTGTACGATGGATGATGAAATGTCAGGAGAGTATAATATTGAGATCAATATTAGATCATAGATGTATTAGATCTACATTTCAATCCTGATTTGATTGTAACATGACAGATCTGTTATTGACAAATATTTGTGTATTTGTGATGGATGGTGTTATGCAATAGCAGCAAGCAAAATAGTAGGTACTTCCATATTATGGGGCTTTTTTTAATAATAGACCTAGAAGGAAGGAGTCGATTTTGAGTTCATCGTATTGATATTGTTCTGCAAGATCTTTGCATGCAGGGTGGAGACCATCAAAATTTATTACAAGAGATGCGACTCACTGATGCAAATATAGTTATTCATTCGATGTTTTATAATTTTCACTTCAATTTATTACGAGCTTATGGTATCATCATCTGTTGAAAATGTCGACCATTAACAACAAATTGAACTTTTTCCATTATATTATTATACCAATATTACTGCTGTCACAGTTTAAATAACTTCGACAGACATTTCCTCAGATATTTTTTAGCATAGCATCAAAGTAGACGAAGATGTGAAACTATTTGCCTCTGAAAAGTACAACTTGGACCAACATCCAGCATCATATGACCTTGACAACGCGGCAGCTAAATTTGGCAGAGAAGGCATGGATTGGTCAGACCAATGTCAGACCTGATATCTGACAGATGTTATGAAATTTGTTTCAGCATTGAACAATCGCACTCAACAAAATAATTGTGATTGAAAGTAACCCAGTCTCTTTCAGATCAGAAAATATTTGGAAGTGAGATTTTATCTCCTTATGTAAAGTGTAAACAACGAATTTGTTAGGTAATGGCTTTGATAGCCTTGATTTAGAGCATGTGCGCTTGCGTACTATTCATTCCTTAATTGTTGCTTTGGTTTGCATAAATGTCAATATTCTCATCACTTGTTAGTTGATAATTGTTAATTGATAAATGTTCCTTGATAATTGTTAAATGTTGCTGCATAAATCCACCTTTATTTGAAAGAATCATAAACTTGTGAACCTCACGTTAAAATGTCTTCTTTCTAAATCAAATCAAATATATTTCTACGATTGGCATTGTACAGTTCATAGTATATAATTGGTTCACATTTTTTTTAAAGTAAAGGTTTGT